AGAACTGAACCTTTGCAAAATAAGGGAAGAGTGGATGTCATTGTTGGTGCCGTTTCATTTATCATTGTGGGTTCATTATCTTATATTGTTGTAGGATTATTAGCTAGTAGGTTGGATGGTAATACGGGAATAAAATTATCTTCAATCTTGATTCCTGTATTTATCACTTTATCTCTCATCTTTTGTTGTACGGGATGCTGTTTACCTTGTGCTCTCTTAGCATGGAATGTGGATGATCTTGAGAGTGGTTCTGATTCTGCGTTTAAAACTCATGATAAACGGATTACTTATCCTACAGCGGCTGGTCCAAGTACTTCATTTGCTAGTGGTAGCAATGAAACTGTATAATATTCATTTATTAAAAATTTGATTTAATTATGATGCCGATTACTACTTTTGCGATCTTTTGCGATCTTCGGCTGTATAGTAGATTTTTTAGATATAATATTTCTTTTTCTCGGCACCATTCTTCATAAAAAAAAAAAAAAACCTTGTTAATTTTTTCTTCATGATGTATATTAATAATTACGCAAATTAAGCAATCTTTTAAAAAAATTTTAGACAATATTGAAAATTTAGATTTTTTTCTTTTTTTTTGATTTGTCGATATTCATGAACTCAGGTATTTATTTTATTATTTCTTTTTTAGTAAACTTCAATACCATTAAAAATGAAAATTTTACAACGAAGAACTTTTATAATATTTTTATTTATTACAGTATTATTACAGTATTATTACAGTATTTTACATTACAGTATTTTATATTACAGTATTATTATTATTATTCCTTTTTTTTTTTTTTTTTTGTGTAGTGTTTTTTTTTTGTATAGGTTTTATTTAGTTAGACATATTCATAATCATTCGTTTATTTAACATCTCGATCATAAATTCCTTTTATTTTGTATATTGAAAAAAAAAATCGTTTAGATAATATAAATCAAAATTTTTAACAATCTCCTACGTTCCTACGTACGTACGTACGTACGTAGTAAAGTTTTATTATGTTTATTTCATTTCAACTTCCTTAAACGTCGAATATTGAACACGAGAAGGTCACGAGACCATAACAATGACGAAATTCTAATTTTAGTTTTAGGTAATTGATTGGTTGAGTATCGGCTTTTTTTTAAACATTCTATTGGTTCAAAGTAATATATCAAGATCGAAGCAGAGCATTCCTAAAATTTCATAATAACGAATCAACTCTTCTTACAAACTGATTGTTATTAAAAATAAAAAAAAAAAAGAATAAATTAGTATATGTGCGAGTTCTTTGTGACAAGCATATTGTAAAGTATTATTGAAAAAAGATTCCCCTTTACAATATATAAATTTAGCCTGGTGATACGGCCTAGATCACCCGTATTGCAAACTCTGGCTGCAAAGTGATTCACCTTGTTTAAAGATCGTCTGTCTTTGAACTTTGATCGTACTTGTAAAGTCTTTATTACATCAATAGCGTACGACTTTTTATATCACGTCATAACGTCTCATATGGCCATGGAGGTTAAACAACGCCGTGTGAAAGTGTACCAACTGAGTAGGGAAAGCGAATGGTTGGACAAAGGTACCGGCTTTTGTACCTGTTTAGTTAACGAGGTAGGATCGCTTTCACTCTTTACCTTTTAAACTGAAATGACTTCTGGATACTGTTTGTCGGTATTTTTTGGTCAAACAAGCCCCGAGAATTACCTATATTAAGTTATTAGCTTGACGCCTCATTAGTCACTGCTTTAATCGTGAATTCAACTCTTGGATCATCATTTGTTCAAATATTTTCATTAATTTAGGCAAAGGATGATGCATGTATCATTGTCCGTTCTGAAGAGGATACCGCTGTTTTATTACTGAACTCTCGTATAATGAAAGATCATGATTATCAAAAACAACAAGGTAAACTCTATTATTGATTTCAGTATTTAAAATTGATTATTTTTTGATGTTAATTTATATTTTTATAACAGATACACTAGTAGTTTGGACTGAACCTAATGGATTGGACTTGGCTTTAAGTTTTCAGGAAGCTGAGGGTTGTACAGAAATATGGTGCGGTATAGAACATGCATGTTTCAGATAAAAAGAATTTTCTATAATATTGGTAGATATTTTTAAATTAATCACAATAAACATATAGGGAGTTTATATCGGACATTAAAGTTCGTATGGGCAATTCAAATTCTAGTGGTGAGTTATCACTAGATATTGGATTCTTCTAAAAAAAAAAAAAAATAAACATTGCCTTTTTTGACTAAATTTCATTATACATTATCATCGATCCGTTTTTTTTTTTTTTTTATTAGATACGCGATCCAGTCCTCCACCTGACCCAGAAGTACCACCAAACATGTCAATAAAATTACCGGAACCGACCTTATCTAATTTAGAAGAAATCGAAACAATAATTAAAGTTTCAAGTCGATCCATTTATGAACGAGAAAAGTTAGCGGCATTTGTTACTCAGGTATATATGTGAATATGTATTGCAGTATTGCAATATTGCATATTAACTTAATTTTTTAGTCGTGTTTTCACATAATAAAAATTATGTCATAAACTTTGATAAAATTTTATAATTTTATGGTTTCATTTGTATTTACTTTAATGTTTTTTTTTTCTTTCACTTTTTTCACTTTTTTCACTTTAGGGTTACATTGCCAAATTATTACCTCTACTTGGGACATGTGAAGACCTCGAAGATTTAAAAGACTTACATAGGTTATGTAATATAATGAAAGGCATTAGTATGTATTCTTTTAATTTTAAAATTACAACTTTTCATGAATTCATGATTCGATTCTAACTTCATATTATTTTTTCTTAGTAATGCTTCAAGATAGCGAAATTTATGAATTTATTTTACGCGACGATGTAATTATGCAAGTTGTTGGAATGTTGGAATGTAAGCTTGATATTTATAAAAAAAAATTCATTTCGTAATTTGAGTTCTAAAATTTTAATTTTTAATGTTTTTTTTTGTAGATGATCCTGAATTCCCTACTTACAAAGCTAACCATCGTCAATATCTAGCAGATAATTCAAAATTTAAAGAAGTGAGATTAATTATAATATTATATAAAGATATTATATAAAAATATAAACATTGTTATCCGGCAGCTTACTATGATAGTGCTTGCCAAATAACTCGAGTTATTTGGCAAGTCATTTAGCAAGCACAATCGTCGCAAACCACCGGATAACACCGTTATTGTATGTTACGCAACCAATAACTTGTTTATCTGGCAGCGAATTGAATATGTGTCATTTCTGGGCCCCTTCGAGGTCAAGAAGCTGACATATTAAATTTCACAACCAGATAATGAATTATTTTTACAAATAATTCTCGTTATTGGCTGTTTCGCACCAATAACTATATATTATTTATCGGTTATTTATTGTTGATCTTCTTTTACAGATTGTCAAAATAAAGGACAAGACGATCGAAACAAAGATTCATGAAACTTTTCGCCTTCAATATCTCAAAGATGTAGTGTTTGCACGTGTATTCGATGATCCAACAAGTTCCATACTTTCATCGCTCATTTTATTTAATCATGTTGATATTTGTAAACATATTTCACAAGATGATGAATTTTTGGAAGAACTTTTCAATATCCTTAATGAGGAAGATGGTTCACCAAAACGTAAACATGACGTTATTATGTTTGTTCAACAACTCTGCTTCATCGCAAAAAGCATTCATGTACCACATAAAAAAGAATTATACAGGTTGGTATAAATTATTTGTTTTTATTAATATTAGTAAATAGTATATAGTTTCATCTCTGATTAAATTTTAAATAAAATAGGTCATTAGCAAGGCATGGATTATTTAAAGTTTTTGATCATTCATTGGTGGATGATGATCCAACTGTCAAGACTGCTGGTGGCGAAATATTAGCATCTCTTTTGGATACAGATGCAAGTATTATTAGATCTCATATTGTGAAACAGGCTGAGGACAAAAAGAAAACTTTGGCAGAAACAATTATTGAAAGATTTATTCAAGATCAAGACTTGGGCGTAAAAGCTCAATATGCTGAAGCTCTTCGACTTTTACTAGATATGAATGCTGGACTATCAGAGATGGGTTTTATAGTTCCTCCAGAGGTTTGTTATATATTAATGAATTATTGATATATATATATATATATTTATTTATTTATTTATTTATTTATTCATTTATTTATTTTTTTATTAATATTTATTCGCTTAATAGTCGTTACCTCTACTTCAACCTAAACATGATGATGACATCGACAATTTTTTAAACTTATTTTATGAAGAGCTGATATCAAAGATGGTAAAACCTGTTTCAGATTTACCAGATTTTGAAAAAGAAGATGGTGAATATTAAAATATTAAATTTAAATAAATGCTTTTTAATATTTCATATTATAATAATTAATAATATTAATAATCAATTTTCTTGTTTAATTCATTGTTCTGAATAATTTGGTAGAGGTTCTTAAATTATCTTCTGATGTAGCAGCATTATGCTTTCATATATGCGAGCTCTTGTCATTTGTTATCAAACAACATACTTTTAGAAGTAAATATTTTGTATTATCGACCGATATAACATCAAAAATAAGTATTTTATTCAGAAGTCCTGAAAAATATTTAAAATTAGGTAAGCTTTTAAAAAAATTTTTTTGCTCTTTTTTTTTTTTTTTTTTATGATAACTATATAAATCAACTAAAATTAATACTGATGCATTTTTAATAGCCGCTCTGCGGTACTTTCGAGCTTGTATAGGTATGAAGGAAGATTTTTATAATAGATATCTAGTACGTAATAATCTTTTCGATCCCATAATACGCGTGTTTATGGAAACGAAGGGACGGGATAACTTATTAAATTCAGCATTTCTTGAGCTATTTGATTTCATACGAAAGGTGTGATTTGTTATTATATATTCATGAAATATCATTTAAATAAGGCATGAATGTCGATATTTATTGTTGAATAATTTCTTTTTTTCTAGGACAATATTAAGTTTCTTATAAATCATATAATGGAAAGGCATGGTGAACAATTATTAAAGATTGATTATGTTGATACTTTTCAACAACTTCAACTTCGTTATGAACAAAATAAAGAAATCCTTATTGGATCAGATAAGTCACCAGGAGAATCTAGTCAAAGGTTTGTTTTTTTTAAAGTTTCATTTTATTTTTAGTGTATTTATAAATTGGTGTCTAACCAGTTTACTTACGTAAATTGCAGCCAAAGCAATATACGCCCGGGTCGTGAAGGTTGGTCATCTGCAATAGGGGATGAAGATGAAGAAGCATATTTCAACACATCAGATGAAGAAGATAATATTAGTAGTACGTCTGGTGAATGTTCGAAAATTAGCACAACAAAACAGGATGCAGAATCTAAAGAAGAATTAACATCTAAAGATGAATCAAAGGCATCAGTAGATTCAAAAGATGAATCAAAAGATGAGTCGAAAGATGAATCAAAAGATGAGCCAAAAGATGATTCAAAAGATGATTCAAAAGATGATTCAAAAGAAGAGTCAAAAGCTAGTGTGGGGTCAGTGGGGTTGGTTGACTATCCAGATGAGGATGATGATGAAAATGTGAAAAAGAACATTGATGAGTTAGTAACTCCCGATAAACAAGATAAACAACAAACATCAACTTCACCACCATTATCACCAAGACCAACCCAGCCAATCATAGGGAAACGATCAAGACCTGATGATGACGACGATGACGACCTTTTGTTACGTGCAAAAACACAAACTACGACAAGCGAGAATGCCCTCTCGTCAAATGGGTCCTCACCCAAGAAAGGTGGATTGAAGATCCTGCGATCGTCTCCGACGTTAAGGCCGAAAATGAAGAAGGCACGCACAGAATAATTTCATTTTATGTGGGGTTAGTCTTTATTGGGTGTTTAACGCAAAATTTAAAATTAGTTATACTAATTCATTTTTTTTACAACAGGCATGACTGATGACCTTTCAATAATTCGAAAAAGACATTCCGTGAAGTTACTGTCGCCGCGATCATAATGGAATCGGATTAAAATGAAATCGGGGTTTCTTTTGAAGTTTCTAAAATCCACATATACTCTTCTATTAAGAATTTTAACCCTGAATCCTAACCAAAGCCCTAAACAAAATGCACCCCCAAAAAAAATTTTTACCACGGCGCGTAAATTTCCAATTAAAATAAGGCAAATT